CTAGAATTTAACGAAGAGTAAAGATGTGGTCGATACAAACTCGGCCAGGTATAAAACTAGCCTGGTTCTTACGTGTGCATCGTTCATGTGCGGCAACCAACGGAATATAATATCAGCAAGCGGTTTAGAGACAATGTTGATTAAACTAATTCCTCTGTGGTTTTCCCAACAGGATCAACTTTCTTGTGAATCGGTATGATGACCAGTTAGGGTGAGATTGGGTGCTGGATCAACCCAATCTTGTAGTAACATTTTACACTTTGAAGGTGAAAAACGCATACCGAACATGGCAACACTAACACTCAAACTATCCAGAAAAGCTTGTAACTTACCTGGATCATCACTTAGTAGCACAATGTCGTCTGCATACTTTAGATCAGACAGTCTGACACCCGGAAGTAAATCGATACCGCTATCCATGCACGAGGATAGGGCTGTTTCAAGAATTAAATCTATGACAAAGTTAAATAGAAGAGGAGAGAGAGAGAGGGCAACCCTGTCGAATACCACTTTCCATGGTGAACTCGGGTGAAAAAGTGCCGTAAGCTCGAACTCGGCTTCGGCTATTATTGTAGAGGGATTGTAATATTGAAATTAAATTCTCGGGCACTCCCTTCAGGGAAAGGCAGCACCAGAGTTTAGAGCGGGCGACTGAGTCGAAAGCCGCTTTTAGATCGAGGAAAATAAAAATGGTGGGTCTACGAAAGGAGTGTCTATGTTCTAGAATTTGACGGAGTGTGAAGATGTGGTCAATACAGCCTCGACCAGGTCTGAAACCGGCCTGGTTCTCACGCGCACACCGTTCACGTGCGGCAGACAATCGACGGAGTATGATACCGGCGAGAAGTTTAGAAGCAATATGGATTAAACTAATTCCTCTGTGGTTTTCACAGAAGGATCTATCACCTTTCTTGTAAATCGGTATGATCACTGATTCACACCATTCAGTTGGAACCTCTTCCTTCTCCCAAACAGAGCCCAGGAATCTCATCAACTGGAAAACCAAGGCTGAACCTCTAGTCTTAACAACCGATGGGGACAGCCCGTCGGGACCGGAATCCTTATACCTTTTGAGATAATTTATTCCTCCGGTAACATCCATTTCAGGTGGAGGACTGATGTCAACTGGCAGTATTTGCCCAGTTGAAGCAGGTATAGGAAAGTCTTGTGTCGACCAGGACCAGCTGAACTGTGCCTTAAAATGTTCTGCCCAACGTTCAAGACGGCGTTGCTGAATTTGAATTAGTGTGCCGTCAGACTCCTTAATTACTTCATTTACATCTACTTTTCTTGGGTCCGTACTCTTAATTAAACGACAAAGACAGCGACTATTATCGATAGTCGCAGCCTTCTCTATCTTCCTATGCTTCCCTACCCACCACCTCTCGCGATCCTTCCTCAGACTCTTGATGAGCTGGCGCTTAAGGGATTTGCGCACTTTGTCGTATTTGGCATCAGAAGGAATGGCTTTTCGAGTGTCAGCGGAGGTCGGGGAGATTCATCATATTCGCTTTGATCGTGTGCCCGAAGCTATCTATTGTTTTGATTGATATTTGGATCATTTCCTTGATTGTCGTCCAGTGTTGAAGTAGGCGTTCTCCGTTGTCAGTCCTGTTGGATGGGAGTGCATGTGAACCACCAAGTCGCCTCTCTTATTCGTCCAGGGACCCCACTTGAGCATTGAAGTCTCCAGGGACTACCACAATGTCCGTTGACCGAGCACTTTGGAGCAGTTGAGAGGGGTCCTTGTAGAATTTATCCTTCATTTCTGATGAACTGCAATCTGTCGGTGCATACGCGGATACGACGAATAAGCACCGACGCTTCGTTCTGTAGCTGTTGACGCGTACTGAACCATCCAGACATACGGCGCAAAGTCCGCCGTTAACCGGGATCCAATCGAGAAGTGAACGCTCGGCCTTGACACAGCACAATCCCAACACCTGCAACACCATGAGCTTCGGATGCCGAATTGCCTGACACACGGAGAGTGAAGCGTGAGGATGAGGTTGGATCTGAAGAACGCAATGAGATGATTGAAGTAGGGTCTTGTTTGAGTGTTTTAGAGACCTATCACGCAAGGCCCTCGGGTTTCGGTTCAGTGTGGTGTTCGCTGGTACGCTGATTATCGGTCCGATTTTCAGCCCTTAGCCTCATGCACCCAATGAGACAAGCGGAACGTGTACGGGACAGCACTTTATTGGTTGGGGGCTGCCCAACTTGGGTAGACGGTAGCTGTCCAGTGAAGTGTGAAGACCTCCCACCGTCGAGAGGAAACCTCAGGTACCCCGCCCCTACGTCCATCTAACCGGGCATTTTACCGGTAAACTGCCACTCACCGTGTGGTTTTGCTGGAGTGATCTCTTTAGGGGCGAGAGTGACTAGTAAAAGGAAGCCCAGAGGTGCCCAAACAGTTGGCCTTGTGGGGCTGAGCTTCGTCTCGACTCTACCCATTAACCTTTTAGACATAATTGGATCTGCGGCTGTGATGAGCCATTTTATATAGCTTGTAATGACATGGAGGCGCGCAAGCCATCACACCACGTCAAGGTGCCGTTTCATCGTTACAACTGTTAGTTTAGGCGCACTGCAACCGGTTAATGCATATGCGGACACGGCAAATAAGCACTCACGTTTCGTTCTACAGCTATTGACACATACTGAGATATCGAGCAGTACAGCGCAGTTGGCTACTAACTAGATTCAAGTCAACAAGCAAGCACCCATCCTCGACACTTGGTGTAACCTCGATACCAGCAACATTGCAAGCATCAGATACCGGATCGTCTGACACAGGAAGAGAGAAGCGTGAGGATGAGCTCAGATCAGAAGAATTCAAGGTGATGATTGAATTATTGTCGTGTATGAGGGTTCCGGAGAAACAGCATACGTCTGAATTGAAATTTTCCCGCTACTACCAAGTGTCTCGAATAGCCTCTGCCGAGGAAGCCCTACTCACTGTCTTTATTTGGCGGTGTTCCCCCACCAAAAAGAGAGGATGACCCGCTGCCTTGCGGGTCAGACTTGGGCTAGTCAAGGGTTTTGGTTGTGAAATCTCAAAGAGTGGACGAGATCGGTAATCCGACAGCTGACACTCCCGAAATAGGCTTGGTCCGTTTTTATTGCCCGTCGTTTACACATAAATGATAAAATTAGTGGGCCTCTTGGATATCCTAGATTACCACAGTCCACACCTGACGGTCCGTACAGATTGAGAACCTATTTCTATTTCATTCCCGAGCACCATAGATGAATGGAAAACCCAATTGCTGCCTTCTTTAACCAGAAGCCTCGACATCGATGCACCTTTAAGATGGTCAAACAGAAGCATAAAGCTAATCAGATGGAAAAACTGTGTGGACGTATGTGAATACTGTTGGTAAGGCTGTATTCGGCGTGTTTGGAACTGAACACAACAGATATCATTCAAACCACAAAGGACTGAACGATCGCCTGGGACTTACCGAGTTCTTACGACGACTCTCCAAGACGATCTCTAAATAGCGACACGTCCGCATTACTGAATTCCAGCACCGTTTACGACCTAGGACATTCGGTGAGAGAATAGATGTGTCATTGTCTGTAGGCGCTTGAAATCCATTCGGATGGGCCACCATAGCACAATCAATGTAGTCTTCGATGGATAACTGAAGTCGACCACCGGTAGCCCAGACTGGTACAGACGACTTATCTGCCGCAGCGACTGGGGGCGTATCTACCGGGTCCGTTTGAAAGATCAATGCAGCACGATTCTGAATGGTTAAAACGACCGACAAGAACCACGCATCATTTCTCAGAGGATCACGATAATATCCGGAAAGATTTTTATCAAAACATGAAAATATAAAAACCCAATTATTTGATCCGCCAAAATAAAAACTCTTTAGAGATTTATGAACAAACCGTCGTCTGTAAATGTAGTAAGAAAGTGTAGCGTTCTTTTATAGTTATTAGTTCAATTAATAAATGAATACAATTTCGGAACTCCAGACGGGAAACCAAGCTAATGAGAAGCTAAGTATACAATTCCATACGTGTATAGATCGAGTGTGTTTACGCACCAATTAAGGTTTCATATTCCCTTATTCAACATATATATATATATATATATATATATATTACAAAAATGTAGCGACTGAAGGACTCGACAAACTTTGTCCGAATATAGCATCCTTACACATTGTAAGAAAACAGAGAACAGCGAACAAGCTCGTTTACGGTGATTCTCTTACAGGCTAATACATCACAATTTATATCAAACTGTTTAGAAAAAAATCCTCAGTAGGGTCGGGGGTGGATGTCTAGGGTTGCGGCTGGTCACCCTGTCCTTGAACCTCGCAAAATGCTCCCTCCCATACGACCAAGCGTCTCAAATAGCCTCTGCTGAGGAAGTTCTACTCACTGCCTTCTCGTGACGGAGATGTTTTTGCACGAAAGTGAGAGGACGAAAAGCCGAGATCCGGGGCTGTAACCGGGTTGGTGAACCACTTGCAGTTCACCTAGGGGAGTTGTCTAAGAACCCTGATTCCAAACCAACCAAGAGGAGGCGTACGAACCACACTCACACCTTTACGGTTGTGTGCAATGGTCACCGGCTCGACTGGGCATCGAGGTGTATTGGGCACCTTGGACGTTTGACCCTGTCCGAAAGACATATGATCCGATGAACTGGACACCGGCTCCCAATGGACTGCGGTTTTCGCACACCGCCCCGCTGCCTTGCGGGTCAGGCTTTGGTTAGCCAAAGGCTCCGGTTGAGGATTCCTCAAGAAAATTCACCTGTCTTGGCCTGGACAACCTGGCAGTATTCGGCCCATTTGCAAATCGTGGAGTTTTTCTTTTAATAAAGATTATTGTACCACAATTTCTTTGGCGCACAGTCTGGCATCAGACGTATGTGAAATATAAATATATAATAAGAAGGGAGGGGAGAGAGAAATCATGACAAGTTGGAAAACAAATAATCAACATTCCAGTTCCATGACCGAATGTTGCTCATACTTTCGTCCTCACACATGCGCATTGGTTTGTGTCACTAGGGATTGGTGGTGGGCTGGCTGTGTCGTGTGTGGTGTTGGCCATGGAGGGCTGAATGTTCTTACGAACTATTTTTGTGAGCAAAGGGGGGATTATGTAGGCGGATTCCGATCGCTTCCGCTGTGACCAGAATGCGACTCCTAATCCTCTTAGATCGACGGCTGCGAACTAAGTAGAGGGACCAAAACGCCTCAGTCACAGTAACCACATGGGTTGACTCCACCAGGTGTGAAACGATCGAGCTGTTGATGGTCTTAATTACTCCATTATTCAGCTAGGCCGGGTGTTGCTCACGGACTCGTTCGGATAAACGTCTGCCTGTGTGGCCAGTATACCTTGCCCCACAGGAACAGATAAATCAGTACACACAAAAAGAGACGGCAGAAGCAGGCAATTTATCCTTGAGTTTTGCTGCGTGGAACGCTTTTTCTGCAACTGTACTCAGTTTACGCGTCACTATCTCTGCAGTTGTATCACCCTTGAAAGATAGTGATATGTAAATCGGTTTCTTCTCAACGGTAGTGATCCATGTTTGGCAACTGGTGACGCCTCAGAATGTTATCCATGAATCGTTCTGGGTATCCATTATGAAGGAAAACCCCTCGGATTAACCTCAATTCTGTGTCAATGGTATCGTCTGTACATATTCTCCGCGCTCTAGCAGCTAAGCACTGAATCAGGTTTCTTTTCCGTTCCAAAGGCACATCGCTTTTGAAATGGGTATACTGATTGTTCCACTATAACTTTCTGTGGATAGCGCGTTGGATAGTTCCGTTTGGTCGGTGGTTTAGTAGAACGTCCAGAAAGGCGATCTGCTCGTTCTTTTCGTTCTCTAAAGTGAACTTTATGTTTGGATGTGCTGAATTGAATACTTCTAAGAGTATTGACAGATTCACACTGTCATCAACAAAGCACAAAATTTCTTTCGCAGTACACGACCGGTTTTGTGGTTTTTGCCGCTAGACAACTATGGCTACCAGGTAATCTTGTGTTGTCATTTATGTACCTGTATCCAGGACGTCACGTTCGTTGCGGTTAGAAGCATATCTGATCCATCTGTGAAACATCGAATCACTGTAATGATATATAAATGGGCTGGTAGAAAAAGGTCTGTCTAAACAAGTAGACCCAGCGTTACAAAGTATATACTTGTCCAATATATATGCATGTATGTGTGTGTGATAATAACGAGAGTTGCTTGATCAGTTGCGGTAGTTAATCCATAAAATCCAGGCTGTGTAGGCCATCCTGCTGCCCAGAGTGGAGATTCGATAGCCACGCCAGAAACAGCCCATTCAAAATGCATCTCAGTGCCGGTAACAACTTTGATGCCGGAATTTCGATCTCGTTATTTTTTTCCATTATGGACTGAAATGTTTACTGTCTCCAGGAGTAGTGCACTTGTACACTAGAGATTTAGTGCGACATGTTCCGATTCTTAACGTGAACAACTTGTTAACACTGCATCTGGACAACAATTTGGGAGTCGATTCCAGAATTTCCACATAATAATAATAAAAATAATAATAATAATAATTATTATTATTATTATTATTATACCTCATACCGATCAGCGGACTTGGAACTATGATTAAATTCGCTAGGTCAGATGCTGATTTACAATATAACTAACCGTTATTTGCGAGTAGTATGGTGAGATGTTTTTATTCATTACAGCAGACCAACCTTCCGATTTTATAGTCGCTTTGGACCAATAAGTGCATTAGGTGAGTTATCAATGGTATGCTGGTTGAATCTGAAGGCTTTTCACACAACCACAATTAGCATGTTTCTCGAAACCACTTGTTTACGAGATTGACACATCCTTTGATAATAATAGAACGACAATTTTTGATTAGCAAGCTTCAACTTTTGGTAAGTTCCTTTTTTCTTCATTCTGCTAGTGGTCGTTTTTGAGGCGAACACCGTGAAGCTACAGGGCCTCGCAATTCGTTCGCCTTTAATGCACTACTGATCGATAACTATAAAAACTGGGTAGTGCTACAACGTAAACACTATCGCTAATCACAAACGCGGCTGCCAGTTAATTTAAGCAAAGCAAGCATACGCGAACGCCACAAAAAGTGCGAACGAGCAAGGGCGAAGAAAGCGACCACTTACCCCCAATCCGGTAAACTTCACTATACCATTTCGAAACTTCTTAATCACTGACTTTCTCTCAGTTCTGGTCAAATTGGGGAAAAAGCAGTGAGTGTGAAAGTCGCAAAACAGTGAGATCTTACATGTAAAACATGGGTACAAATGCCACATCTGGCACCGATTCCAAGGTCTCATAGATATCAGGCGGCAAAAAGGGAACACTTCCTTCAGAGAAATAGAATAGATGGAGTTTGAATTACCGTATCTGGTGTAAAGAAGACATCCAGGAGTGTCCACAGAAACTTCAGTGCCACCGGTGGGAACGATCAGTTTGCCAAGGCGGAATGCACGTGATGTCTGAGAGAATTGGAAACGCATGGGGCTGGGTCACTGTTCTGAGTATTTGACTGAGGAAATACAGGTAATTTTCTGTCGAATTGTAGACCTGATAAAGGGTTAGAAAAAGTGCGAAAATGGTTTACAAAAACCAACTTATGCATATTATGGTGTGTTATTATCATCCACGAACTGTTATGCTTCGTGGTATTACGAATATGAGCTGAAATGAAATTCTGGAGAAACACATGTAAAGTGTGGACTTGTGAGATTACTGCACACAGGAGGGAGGGAGAACGTGAAGGTGGAAAAAGTAAATCGTATCGAAAAGATGATGGAATTTAAGCTTACCGGGCAATTGTGGGTTAAAGAAACAGACAATGAAGTTAAGTCGGTCGATGAGGATTTTATTATTTGCACAACTATAATCGTATTTAATCAACCAGGTATAGGTGGAATTACGGACTAATCCATAAGATACACCATTATTATTATCATCGCGTCGACACATCATCATCATCATGTTACAGTGAGATACAGTGAAGCGAGCTTCACTGATTGCTGCCAAGCTCACAATGTACACAAATCAAGTGATAAAGCACAAGATGGAGAGGGATTGGGCCTAATTGGAGGAAGGAAAAGAAAGTGAACCTCTATGGTCAACACCGAGAGTACACAATCTAAGTGTTCATGCATACCTTTTTTCAAGCATTCTGATTTGTTAAGAAATGACAACAAGAACGCTACTGTTGTCGGTTAGTTGCCATATCCTTTAATATCTCCAGCCAACCAGTTGCAGTCTTTCGGACCCCAACCTGGAACACGGGAGACACCGATTCTACCTAATCGCTCTGTGCATTTCTTCATGCCTCGCTTCCACGTTATCTGTTGACCACCACGCGGTTTCTTCCAACCGGGAGCCGCAACT